ATTTAAAGTGATTACTCTAATGCTTTAACTTATTGAGTAGCAAGCCCCTTAGCCTATTTTAAGTAGACTCCCTTAGCGAACAGAAGTTTACAAGTGGAGAAAGTACCAAGCTCTTCCCAAAGCAGAAACAAACACAGCTGTAAAGTTACATGACAGTTAAATAAACAAGAGACTGCAAATCCTGTAAAATACCAACAGAACACACACACACACAAAAAAAAGTGGGGGGGGTGGGGGATGAAGAAGAGAGAGGAGGGGGAAAAGAGCATGGGAAAACATCATGTCAGAACAAATCTGCATCTTATCATTCTATAATATACAATAACCTCTAAAACTTGATACCTCATAGCATGAAGAACACAATTAATGCTTTATAGTGCTAAACACCCCAAGGAATAATTCTACCTTATTGTATTAAATAGATACACACCAAAATTACTAAAGCAACACCCATAATTTACCAGGTACTTAAATAACCTCAAAATATATAATATAAAATTATGCCAGCATATCACCAATGGTCAATGTGAGATTATGGCTATTTATTTCCTAGTTATGAAAGTAATACTTTAAATTCTTAAATTCAAGAGAAAAACTGATGTCCAGTGTATTCACCCTATCTCTACCCTCTACACACTCATCTACACTCTAATAATTAAAATCAGTATTTTTCTGTTTCCAGATTGCCGACAGGAAGTGTTGGTGAGATGTACAATCACAGGGTACTGTTACACACAGCTAAGAGGACAGACATGGATATAGTCCTATGGAGAGTAAGATGGCAGTATTATATCAAGTTGAAGGCAAGCCCCACACCTCAGCAGACATTCCACTTCTGGGTGTATGACCTAGAACAGTGCTACTCTAAGCATGTTTCATGGAATGATGCCAGGCCTTGAACTAATTTTTTGCTGGTGTACCACAAGATAAACACAGAAATTGAGAGTGTTTCAAGAGTTCTATGATAATTTGACAGAGAAATTTTTATTTAAAAAATCCAAGCTTGTATTTTATCTTTTTAAATTTTATTTTCTTAGTAATTTTTATTGTATCTTACAAAAGTACTGATCTATAACATACTGGAACCAACAAACCAAGGAACCAACAACCAAGTCTTGAGAAACACTGTCCTAGGGTAAAAGAATACATGTACAAGAACGTCCATGGTAGCAATCTTTTCAGTGAAAACTGAAAACAGCCTAAATGCCCAGCAGGTGACAAACAGAGTATTAAAAGGAACAATCTAATTTAAATGACTCAACATGAATGAAGCTCAAAAATCACTGACAAAAGTGATACAAAACAGAAGTATACACACACATGCATAGTAAAAACAAAACAATCATGTTCAGAAATGATAAACACGAAATTCAAGATAAGACTACCTCTGAGGAGAGTGGAAGGGGAACCTTGGGAAAGGAACACAGAGTTAACTATTTATAATATAGTCTCTCTTTTAAAAAAAAAAAAAAAAGAAAAGAGCTATTACAGATAAGACCAACATGCTAAAATCTGACAAGGGAAAATGGAAGATGTTGGTTATATCATTTTCTAAAACTTGTCTATATGTTAAATATTTCTTTTAAAAAAACACCAAAAATGAGCAAGCCTGGATGGCTTAGTCGGTTAAGCGTTTGCCTTCTGCTCAGGTCATAATCCTGGGTTCCTAGGATGGAGTCCCAGCATTGGGCTCCCTACTTGGCAGGGAGTCTGCTTCTCCTGACTCTGCCCCTCCCCCTTGGTTGTGCATGCCCTGCCTCTCAAATAAATAAATAAATAATCTTTTTAAACAAGACACCAAAAATGAAAACCAAGAGAAAAGTGGTAATAAATTTATAGTAACTGCTATTACCAGAATAAAAGATTATCAGAGAAAAAATTTTCAGAGTAAAAAAAAGGGACAGAATTCAGACTGGAGAATCAGGAAGGACTTGTCTAAGAGAGTGACATTTACACTGAGCAATGAAGCATCTGTAAGGATTTGCCAGAGTGGATATGTCCAGACTGGAAGAAAAGACAGTGCAACAGTCCTAAGGCAAAAGGAAAGGTGTGTCGGCAGTGGGTACCCTGTGAGTCCCAATGAGCCACAGCAAAAGGCATGCACAATGTGGCTGAAATCATTCAAGGCTATTACAGCACAGAAGTGACATGACACAATTTGTATTTTAGAAAGATCCTCTGGCTCCTTGCTCTGGAAAGACTGGAGGAAGTAAGAAAGCAAAATCAGAGATTGTTGCAAGACACGAGATGATGGTCAACGTTCATTTGGTGGCAATGTAAACAGAAAAATAAGACCTGACTCAAAGTTACATTTACAACAAAGACTTAGAGGACTTAACAGTAGACAGGAAGGGAAGAAAAACAGAGAAAGAGACAAAAATGTCAAAAAGTAGATAAGACACCCATGAGATCAGATAAACTCATTAGAGGTGTGCCTGAAATTTAATCCTGAACTTCCTAGTTCCTACAACAATGCAGAGCCCACCATTAATTACTTAATTTACAGAGTCTATAATATGAAAACAAACCAGCAGTTGAGAAGAACAGCTAATCCTGGTAGAGAAATTTTTCTCTAACAAAAACAGAAATATTTTTGTTAAATTTCTTCCTCATAAAGGTAATGCTGTGTGTCACAAAAGAAATTCCCTAAACAGTATTCTTTCTGTAAATTCAAAATATTTTATAATCCTACTTCTATAATATCTATCAACTGACATAGAAATAGTTAAGTATGCACATTATAATTCCAGAATAACCACTGAAAGAACAGAAACAGAATTTAAAAAGTTGAGAACCATTTCAACAGTAGACAAGAAACAAAAACCACACAGGAAATCAGAAACCACAAGATAACTTATTAAACCAAATATATTAATATATCTTATATTAAATAAACTAAATGTTCCCAGTAAATTGCAAAGATTGACAGACTGACAGGAAGGACTCTCAGAACCCAGCTTCTAATTGGCATGTACCAGATAGGGAGGTTTAGAAGTGGCCCAGCAGGCCCACAGCTGAGATTTCTAATGACCCATCTACCTTCTTCCTATCAGGGTCATGCTTTCATCCAATACACCCAGCAGGGAGGCACTAGCCATTCTGGGTCCTAGCTGTGGGCCTGCATATTTGACTGAGGTTAGAGGCTAGATAGCTAGCTCTATGTCCAGGGCTCAATTTGTAGCCAGAGGGAATTACAAACGTGGAGAAGATGAAATATGGAATATACCCTATCGTGCTGAAATAGAATTGAAGGTACTGGTATAAACTTCGGGCTTTTTTGGGTTTTTTTGTTGTTGTTGTTGTTGTTGTTGTTGTTTCATTTATTTGTCAGAGAGAGAGAGAGTACATGTGCCTGTGAGCAGTGGGGAGGAGGCAGAAGAAGAGGGAGAAACAGATTCCCCACTACCGAGCAAGAAGCCTGATGTGAGACTGGATCCCAAGACCCTGGGATCATGACCTGAGCTGAAGGCAGACGCTTAACTGACTGAACTACCCAAGTGCCCCATAAACTCGGTTTTTAACAGATGATATATTAAGATACGCATATAGGTAGATAAGAAGAAAAGGAGGATGAAGGATAGGTAGACACATGTGATACACTGGGTAAATTTAAAAAAAAAATAAAAGTACAAAAGAAAATTTTTAAGATGTTAATTACCATTGGTGAGGAAAAGGAATACAGGGATGGGATGAGGAGGAGCACACAAGAAATTAAGGATGTTGGGCGCCTGGGTGGCTCAGTGGGTTAAGCCGCTGCCTTCGGCTCAGGTCATGATCTCAGGGTCCTGGGATCGAGTCCCGCATCAGGCTCTCTGCTCAGCAGGGAGCCTGCTTCCCTCTCTCTCTCTCTCTCTCTCTGCCTGCCTCTCCATCTACTTGTGATCTCTCTCTGTCAAATAAATAAATAAAATCTTAAAAAAAAAAAAAAAAAGAAATTAAGGATGTTGGTAACATTCTATTTCCTAAGATGGATAATGTTCATTTTACTATTATGTTGTTGTTGTTACACTATCATGTATTTTGCATGTGAGTGTGCCCTCAACATGGTATCTCAAGAGCCTGGATTTAAAAGTCTTAACATGAGGGTCACTTAAGTGGCTCAGTCGGTTAAGAGTCTGCCTTCAGCTCAAGTCATGATCCCAGAGTCCTGGTATTGAGTTCCACATGCATAGGGCTTCCTGCTCGGGGGGGGGGGGGGGGGGGGGGGGGGT